GCTGCACACACTAATCAATACCATTTCAAACTTTGTCTATTTTTATTTTTATCTTCATATCAAGTTTGAGTTTAGATTTTTATTAGTATCAAAGCTTACCCTAAATTTCATTCATTTAGATAATAACATCCAAATTTGTTGATCTAGATATTTCAATTTCTGCAATTTCTGTCAACCATATGGATAAAATAGCATTAACCCGTTTAGCAAATTATTTTCTTTGTTGATAAGGATATTGCATGCTATTCCAAATTATTCTTCAAAGTATACTGACCGGTCACGTAATTTCAATAGTCAATGATTGGATTTTTAACTATTCCATTTGGTTCAATATTATACATGACGTCAAAAGAATTTCACAATTGAATTTTCTTGTGTGATTGGCAAAAATCATTACTAATTAACGAAATTGCAAAAATGGCAAAAAATTGCCGATTGACAAACTTTATTCTTTTTATGTATAAAGATATCAGAAAACTAAGCTAGTTAAGAACTTGTTTCAATTTTTTTTTATCTTGGATAAACAATACATTTATATGATTTTTGTCGTCCGCGCAAATTCATCACCCATAATACTATGTATTATCCGATTGATTTATGTATAAATTAATTTATTATATTTATCCTAATTGATACTTTTTGCTTATTATCATCACTCATCCTTTTTTGAACACTCAATCTTTTATACCTCCTGAAATTTCACGAAAATATTTTAAGATCAAATAATTAATTTTGTATCTAATTTAAAAATTAACTTTGATTTCTATTCTGAGCTAACGGGCAAACAGCACTATTAAGCTATTTCTGGTCGCCTTGTTATTTTAAGTACAAAATGACATCATTATGATTTATACTATTTATACAACATTTATATAAGATATAATTAAATCATGTTATTAATTATTCAATTATGTTATGCAAATTTCCATCATTTCATTGATAATATAAATTAAACCATTTAAATTAAACCATTTAAAGATGCAAATTTATTGTACAATTCTGAAAATTCCCTTGAAGAAATCGTTGAAGTATTTCATTTTTCTGTAAACCAGATACGCTTGTTGAAGTAGGTGTATTAATTGATGTATCAGTATTGGTCAAGGAAATATTTGTTGATTCAGTAAGAGTTTTTGAGCAGTCAAGTTCAATTGATGGAGAGTATCAGTTTGGGAGAATGATTGAGCAAGAGCTTAATAGAAAAAATAATCATATAATAATAAATCAGAAATAATATACAGTATATTATTAAATCATGAAAATAATATATACCTTGTCTTTGTAATAATGATTTTGCTGTTGTAAAAGAACTTGCAAAAGTAAGGTTGCTATTATGGTGATTATTATGTAAAATTGTTTCATCGGAAGTAGTATGTTGTTGGGATGTAGTATTTTGTTGATCAGATTCATCATTTTTGTCTATAAATTTTTATTTTTGTGTGGATCAGAATGAATAGGGATCAACGAATTGATTTTGGATTAGCGAATAATTTTGGTTAAAGAAGATAAAAAGTTTTAAATAAAAAATTTTTATTTTATTTATTTAGTTTTATTTAGTCGAAACTAATTAACTTGTAACAAAGTTGCTTTTACATTAGGTCGAAATCAAGTTCTTTATATACATGTTCATTTACATATTAGCCCGAATTGCGCGAATCCGCTCGGTTTGGGCGATTCCGCTCAAATTGCGCGTTTTCGCTCAGATTGCGCGTTTTCGCTCACTTTGTACTTGGGCGAATCCGCACGTTTTGAGCGATTCCGCCTGTTCCGGGAGAATCGTCATTAATCTCTACTAAATAAAGTTAAATAAATATGAACGTGCTACGGATTGATTAATAATAATAATAATACGCGAAACGTAACACGAATTCAGATGATAATAAATAATTATACACGTTATTAATAAATAAAAATAGAAATAATAAAAATAAAATAAATAAAAATAAAAATAAATGATAGATTAAATAAAATAATAATAAAAATAAAAATAGAAATAGAAATAAAATTTAATTTGACCCAAAATTAAAGGATTCAGCCAAATATCGTCATCATCATCTGATCCTGGTAACACTACTCCAGTTTTTTTTTCTATTTTAAAACAATTGAAAATTAATTGTTACACTGCATAAATTATTGAATTGTCACATTCGTCACATTTGATCTGCAACAGTGTCCACTATGCTTGATGTCTCATTTACATGAAATGTCAAATTTTTTTTTCCGTGAATATAAAATATAATTAGTCTGAGTAACTTTGTTTCTTATAAAAAGGCAGCGATTTCGATTTACTCTAATCAATAATTTTATTCTCACAAATAAAATTTTATTCTCACAAATAAATTATATTCTCACAAATAAATTATATTCTCACAAATAAAACTCATCTTCACGAATAAAACCCATCTTCACAAATAAAAAAAAAGAAATCATGAAGTTTATTTTTGCTTTCCTTTTATTTGCTATGCTCTCCATGGTGGTAAATGCTATTCCACATCAACTTCTTAAAAGAGATACTCAATTTATCCAATGTCCTACTAAAGCTGGACAAGTAGCACCACCTCAACTTACTGTCACAATTTTACCTGATCCTGTCGTTGCTGGACAAACTAGTACTTTTACTATTTCTGGAACACTGAGTCGTCCTGTCGCCAAGGGCGACTTTACCGGTGCTGGTTTTTATGATCCTGCAACTAAGAGTATCATAGGTGATGTAGCTATGGCGCCAGCCAGCCCTGCAACACCATTTTCTCAAACATTGAGTGTTAATGTACCAGCAGCATTACCTGCACAATACATGATTATAGTTATAGTTGCGAATCTAAAAACTGATGACATTATAGGCTGTGCAGCTGGTATAGTTGGTGGTTCCGTTAAAGTTGTAGATTTTAGCTATAATTCCATTCTTGCAAGTTATAATGTAGAAAAATAATTTAATTGTTAGTTATTATTATTTATTAAACAATGTTCTTACAACATATTCTATTAATATTATGTTATCATTTAATACTGTCATTAATATTTATATTTACATGTTGCTTTAAATAAAAACATTCAAATTTATGAATTTCCGAAAATTTTATTCACTAGTACTAGAACACCTAGGTAAAAAATATGGCAGTATCCTTTGGCACAACCACACCACAACTAATGCAAAAAACAACCCCAACAGTATTCTGACTAATATCTAGGTTGGAAACATCACATATTGTTCCATTGCAGATTTCTTTGTTTATGACCAACTATGTTTGTATATTCTAATTTTGATGTTGATTATATTGGCTAATTTTCAATTTAACATATTGTTGGTCAACAAAACTATTTTGAAGAGGCGAAAGTCAAACTAAAATTGAAAGTTATGTCAAAACTAGTTAGAATTATTAAAATCAGTCGAATATATATATATATATACAAAGAAATTATCGTGTTAAATACGATTACCATTAATTAATTTAACTGTGTTAAATTCTTTCAGAAGCTTTTTATAACTTGCTGTTATTTGTTGATATTGCTTTTCTAGTTAAAGCTAATTAAATTTGGTTGATCATAGTTGCATTTAATTTAATTTCTCTTGTGTGTATGCTGATTGTAAATCTACTTTATTGTTGATTCAAGTTATAAATACTAGCGCCAAACAACAACAATAAATGTAACATTTTATTATTTTA